AAAACGACGGCGTTTCGACGTTGGCTAAACGTCATTATCAAGTCAAAAAAAAATATTTGTAAGTTGCAGTCTATATATACCAAAACAACAATAGGTGACAAAAAGCTATACCGTTAGAAAAGAACATTAGTAATTAAACAGAAAGTTTGGCACGTATGGAATCCATCTGGATATTAAAATTAGGCTTGAGATTCTTGATGAACAGCAATTCAAAGACTAAACAATCGAATTTTCCCTAGCACTTTCTTAAAACTCTAAATTGGTTTTCTTTCAAGAGGTGGTTGTTACCGTGAGCTTACACGAAATGTCGACCAATTGCCGAATATTTGTGCTCAGCAGTGCGTTGATGAAGGTTTCTGGCTGTGTATCCGACATAATCTGCATCGCACAGGTCACATGAGAAACGGTAAACAACGCCTTGCCGATTCACAATTGACGGCTTGATTTCTTTGGGTTTAAGATCCTGCCCTAATTTCTTTGTCGCAAAAACAGGCTGCAACGTAAGGAGAATCTTATGGCTACGATCGCGCAACTGCTTCCGAACCGCATTAGTGGCCACTTGATCTTTGAATGGAAGACTAATTCTTTCTGTGTTAATATCATCGGTGTTTCTTTCCGCTGTGCCTGCCGAAGCATTTCTAAAAATAAAATTATTGATAGCGGAATCAATAAGGCCCCTAGGGTAGTCAAGACGACTGAAAATTAATAATTTGACACATTCTGCGTCAAAAGCCTCTGTGATAGACAATAGGTTATCAACGTTTGAAAATTTAGAGTTGTTGTCAACTGAAGCAGCGCTCAGTAGGCGGATGTATTCGGGTTTGTCCATCACTACAACTTCAGAACCTTTAGCGGGCTTAGTGATAACAATGTCGTCCCGTTTCTTTAAGCGATTGAGAGCTTTGACAAGAGCCTTAGCTGGATTAGGGCTTGCACGCTGAATGTAATTCAAAGCGATTGAACGTAGCGTTGAGCTAGCCAGTTCAACGCTTTGCTGAGCATAAATATTCGGTAATCGGTCGACATTTCGTGGAAGCTCGCAGTAGCAACCACCTCTTGACAGAAAACCAATTTAGAGTTTTAAGAAATTGCCAGGGAAAATTTGGTTGTTTAGTCTTTGAAATAATGTTGTTCATCAAGAATCTAAAGCCTCATCTAAATATCCAGGCGGACTCCGAACGCGCCAATCTTTTTGTTTAATTACTAATGCTCTTTTCTAACGGTATAGCTTTTTTTCACCCGTTGTTATTTTGGTATATATAGACTGAAACTAGCAAATATTTTTTTGACTTGATAATGACGTTTAGCCAACATCGAAACGTCGTCGTTTTTAGCAATCTTAAAATGTTTTTAAGAAACATTTTATCACAATTTTTTATTGTTAAATTTTTTTCCTAAAGCACTTCTTCGTATACGAAATTATCTCTCTAAGAAAATGTAAAATAGCTGGTATCCATCCTCCTTTCCACTGCTATGATACCTTGCGTTTTTTGGAATCCGATTCCAACAAAATTTAATGTAAGCCCATAGGTTCACATGACAGTTGGAGTAATCCTTTAGATTGGTTGCCTCAAGTTACAATTTTCCCAGAAAGACTGAGATAACTAATCACCATTTTGCTTCACGATAAATTGTGATTCTTCGAAAGTCATCTCAGAATTTGTTATCATTTGTTCACATTCTTCAGCTTTATAAGCAGTGAGATGCTAAAGGCATAGCTCGCTAAACGAGAAACAATCAATTGTCGTCCTCGTTGCCGCGACAGAAGAGAATTAAATCGGCGCTTGTTCGCGGATAGAATCATTACACGACGGGTTTTTCTTGGCTCGGGAACGTTTCTTATCGGTACGACAATGTCTGTGTCATTTGCAGCTGAACTTCTTCGCTGCAGGCAAACCAGAATAGACAGTGTTGGCTGTAAAGTAAATATTCCGCACTCCTCTGTACATCGTTTCACGAATATCTTCATCATGTAGAGTGCAGGCGCTTCATGCCTCAAGCAGACCTACCTATTTACCGCGGTGTACCGTTGTGCTTTTCAATTATTGTTGCTGTGTTGAGTTTTGGTGGCACTGGTTCGTTCCCTTACACCGTAGTTTTCCATTTATTGCTTTCTGCTTGCAACACGAATTGGTCAACAGAAAATCTCTTCCACTTGTCAAGAAACAACCGTTTAAGATTGATCTGCAAACGCTCAACGTTTTGTGCGAGATGACTGTTGATCGCTCTTTCCAGTTACGATATGAAAATTGGCTTCCTTAAGACAAATTCTGGAAGAGTCTACTTCCAAGTTTTTCACCCTGCAGCTTTTCATATCATGGATAAGGCTAAACGTACCTCTCGCATCATGCACGGCGTCTTCCTATTTCTCGCGGTGTACAACACTATCTTCGCTTCTCTGTATTCTTTTAAAATCATGAAAGATTGAATCAACCACGAAGAGTGCACTGTTGTCTGTGAAGATAGCTATGCGGTCGAGGACATAAACTTACGGCAAGCACTCTGATGGATGTAACTATAAAATCATCAACAGCCATCAGCTTGGTTTTCTAGCAAACTGAACCAAAGATAGGAACATTTGTTTTGCTGGTTTCAGAAGAATCGTATTGGAGACCTTCTGTCTTCTGTGAGAACTGTAGACCAAACTTGCCTGTTTATGCTACAACAAGCAACGCTTTAAGAGAGGATGTCAG